GCTTCCATATTCGGAGTTTGAGCAGCCAATCAGAGCGCAACTTCAATGTTATCCACTGTCTTAGTATGTACTTAAATCAGATAAACTGGTTTGAAAACCCGTTAAATTAATCTGTTGGTTGCAGTATGGGAGTAGATAGGCTTCGTTCCCGAGAAACGGGAGAAAAATAGTTAAAATGATATCATGATAAACGCTCCCCGTTTCTGGTCACTGCAGATAAATCCATTTAAAACAAGAGCTCTAGGTTCGAAATGACTATGGGCTTCTCAGGCAGCAAATTCTAATTCGTTCAAAATGCCTCATATCTTTCTTTTTTCAGCTATGACTCAGAAAGATCGTTACGAAATGAATCGACGTCCTCGCGGATTATGTATCATCGTGAACAACGTAGGCTTCAAAAACCAGGATCTGAATCGACCAGAGTAGTAGGCAAAGGGCGGGTTCTGGCTCATTTTCCTGAAGCTACGTTGAATTATCGAGGTTTCATGTTAATTTGGCACTTTTCGGAGATTCTTTAAGTCACTTGTAATATTCTCGTCAAATTATCGTAAATTCACTATAATTTGGCACTTTCCGGGGTTTGTTTAAAGATGTTTGTAATATTCACGTTAATTTATCGTGAATGCACTATATTTTGGCACTTTCGGCCATGCCGATTTGGCAAATCACGTCAAATAATCGTGAATTCACTATATTTTTGCACTTTTCCATGGTCTATTTGTGGTTTTCTCGTTAAATTATCGTGAATCTTCGCTAAGTTGACGGAATTTTAGTTGCCTTTAAGTGTGTTGTGTGACCAAAATGTGGTGTCCTATCGCGTGCGTGTGTATTTTGTCTGGTAAAATGTTTTCGACTCCGAAGGGTGTTGCGTGACCTCACACTAACATGTTAGTGTCTGCGGTTTTATGCAAATTAATAATGTCAGCGTGAAATCCTTTTCCCAGCGGGGGAAATAAAACCCGTCAAATGAAATAATTATTATTCAGATCACGTTAAAGTGAAATCCTTTCTCCAAACCCATAGCGTAAAATCCTTTTCCCAGCCGAGGAAATAAAACCCGTCGAGTGAAATAAGCTTGTGACCACTTCGTGGTGATTACGTTTCTCTTTAAAAAATTATCTTGATCACTAACAAACGAAAACGTTATGGATATTGCCGACTTTTCAAAAGATATGGCTCTCAAACTCGAAAACGATCGCACGCGAAGAAAAATTTATCAGACTGTACAAGACTACAAAGATGTACAGCAAGGTATCGCTATCCAACGCGAGAAAGAATTCAAACCGATCACAGACGAGGTGTCTAAGGTCAAACAAACAATAGACGAGCGACAAAATCAAATCATTCAAAAATTAGATGAGAATCAACAGGCATTCACACGCGACCTATCTTTTCTCAAAGAGCTAGACACATTCGAAAGCCCACCAGATTCTCCGTCAGCTCTTGAACCACCACCTAAACCGAAAACAAAAGGTATCGATCCGGATAAAGATTTTAGCCAAGGCGAGCTTGAATATATTCAAAAAATCGGCTACCCGACACCTAAAGTCGCATTCAAACAGATACTTGAGGAGGAATTTGATCACGAAGGACTTCTGTTCGATGTGCTTGATAAAATCAGCCGAGCAAACCATACAAAGGCCGGTCTCTCGAAGAATAAAGAGAAAAACAGAGACCAAATCGAAGATATTGTGCGACAAGTCAACACGCTGAAAAAATATGCAGAACGCATTAATTTACTCGCGGGTGGTGACAAAATTCTTGTCACGCAAGGTCAAGGTCTCAAGGGTCGCAAAAAGCGTAAATATACACAGAAAAAACGAAATGCCTACAAAGTTGATGACAACGGGCAATTCGGTAACATCCGCTTCAACCTACCTCGTCTATATAACGAATTCGTGGCTGAAGCGGCCGATCCTTCAACCGGTTCTGTTGTTTATGAAAGGCAGGGTGACAAATTTCTCATAGATCTTCTAAGAAAGAAACACAACCCCAAAACAAATTACTCACAAAAATCGATAGAAATGTTCAAACATCTCTCGAAACTCGCCGGCCTTCCAATGCACAAATCGTCTGGAAAGGCGAAAATGGCTGGAGGGCTTATATTTACCGATTTCAAAGAACTGAAAGAAAAATTAAAGATGTTGACAGCCGCTAGAGAAGCGGGTAACAGATCCTAAAGAACAAGCAAATTTCGAAAAAACAATATAATGCATACATACAAAAAAATCTAAACTGAAAGTATGGGGGAGCTTGCAGAATTAATCGCAATCAACAAGGATTTGTTGAAATTGTCGTCACTTCTTGTGTCATATCATAAACCTCCGACTCCCATCGCTATCAGCTCTCTTAGTTGTTCGAGCGGTGTGAGCCACGATTTTACTACTACCTTTAACCCTGTGATGAAGTTAGACCCAAACACTACATACTATGTTGCCCTCGACGAACTGGCGATGAGTTATGCATGGTACAACATCAGCGGCAGCTACAACAACAACAAACTCAAATATAGCCACGATTCTGGCAACACGTGGCACACAATACAATTCCCAGATGGGAATTTCTCTTATTCAGAACTAAACGCTTATATTAAGCGAGAGCTTGAATCCTCGAAGCATAGCAAGACGGGTATCGAACTCAAATTTGTGCCAGCCCTTTTCAAATGCTTGATCGGTCTCGAAGACGGTTATCAAGTCGACCTGCAAACCGGTAACTTTGGAGATCTTATCGGTTTTACAAAGAAAATCGTGACAGCGACCAGTTATGGTGACAAGCTTCCGAATATTACTCGCTCGGTGGATGATATTTATATCCACACAAATATTCTCTCAGAATCGGTTGTTGGTGGGAAACAATCGGATGTTCTCTACCGCTTTTCGGTTGATAATTTACCCCTTAGTTTTCCCTTCCATATCGAACCGAGGCAAAAGAAATATAGCAAAATAAACACGGGTGCTATCAGAGATTTACGAATCTACATAACCGACTCCCTTGGGAGGCCGTTGGACCTCAACGGCACGGCTGTCTCACTAACACTTTTGCTGAAGTGAGTCACATAAAAGTATTTATTTATTTCATGCACTTGAAATAAAGCACAGCTATGGTTCGAAAACATATGAGATGGGGTGCCGATGGCAAACTCATATTACAAAATGTTGATGACTCACCTCAAGAAGGCGAAGGAATTTTCGACGTTGTCAAAAATGTAGCCTCAAAAGTAGCTGCGAAGGTTACAGGTAAAGCCGCTAAAGAGCTTGCATCTAAAGCGGTGACAAAGGCGGTTGAGAAAGGTGCTGAGCAAATCGGTGAGAAGACGGGTCAATTACTCGGTGAAACGATTTACGATAAATTCTCATCACGATCGAAAGTCACACCACAAGGTGCGACTGAAGTCACGCCACAAGTCACACCACAAGGTGACGCTACTCCGTGGAGACCACAAGTCACGGATGCGGCAAAGAAAAACGTACGTTATGAACTGAAAAATAGCTTGAGTTATAGCCCCCCTTTGAATCGGCTGGATAACATATGACATCTGCAGGTGCTGTGCTAAAAATAGCATCTTTCTTATTGCTATGACCCATCTGTTTCACAAAGAGAAAGATGATCTCGTGGGTGTTATCATCCACATATTTCTTAGTAGCCGCAGAATTGGCATGAATGGGCTTGTGCTCGAGAGTGAGATCAGAATTAATGTGAACGCCTCCGTTGACGAACGAGTACCAACTTGTCCATACACTCTTCGGTATGCTGTTGTGGTAACCTTTGGAGCCGTAGATTATCACCCAGATGGGGAGAGTTTGGTCGTAGGCCTGCCCAGATTTATTTTTCATCACGATGTCAAACATGAGGTAGTTGGGGGCTGAGTTGCTCCACTTAGTCAGGTGAATGAGAGAGACGATGTGATTTTCAAATCGATTGCTACGCTGAGTTGAAATAGTTTCAACACTGCTGGTCGCCGTCAGAGTCACACTGCTCGGATCGACTTTACTCGATTGCCAACACAACTCACAGACGACGGTGTACTCTGATCGCGCCGCGCTATACATATTTACTCCAAAACGAGATGAATAATAACCCTTGCTAGTGTCCAAGCTTAAATCAAAGGGTTTGGTTCTAGGATTTGTGGGGTACAGCACGACCTGGTCGGTGATCGCTTTACCGGTGATGTCGTCTTCGTCAGAAAACTGTCCACTATTGGCCATGATATAGGCGAGGTCGTTGGTCAGCTGAGGACCCGCTATGTTATGCGCCAGTCTATCTTCAACAAACTTTTTGTTCACCACATCGTTGTCGGCTGAAGGTGTGTAGCTAGATGTAACTTTGTTTGAGCCCATCGCAAGCGTTCCTGCCATAATACCGCCAGCAAGGCTCAACTTTGTATCTGCATACTTCTTTGACACAGCTTCATCGTTATCAGAAAAGGTGTCTGGGAGATTTACTATTTTTCGCCCACGCGCGTCTAAAGTTTGCTTGTCGTTGAGGTTGCGAAAGCTTGGTATTGATTTCTTCGTATTGTCAACGTATACCTGAGTAGCGCTGCTAAGGCATGTAATATCGAGAAGACCTTGGAGATGCCTCTTCATTGCTCCAGCCTCATATCGTGAGATCAGAGTGTTTGAGTTTTCATAAGTAGATTGTTGTCTTGTAGTCATACCCAAGTAATTTTCGCGTTTGGTATTGATAACATCCTTGCCATTCATGTCCAGATTACCCGTCATCTTCTGTGATCCACTCAACAGTAAAACAGAAGATGTATCTGCTTTTCCGCTCAAGCCGTTCAAAACAGTTGATGTATCAGCTTTCTTCGCGAGTTCGGTGTTGAGTTTATTCTCATTTACGGCCGCAGTGCCATTGAGAGGAGTGTCGCTTAGACCTGTAACCTGTCGATCAGCTCCATGACTTGAGGTGAAAGAGATAGCTTTTAAAATATTCCCTCCTTTAGTTTTGTCGAGGTAGTTTGAGAGATCAGAAGAGCTTAGCTTCTTTGCAAGCTCAGTGTTGAAGGTCGATGTATCAACTTTACCACTCAAACCATTAAGCACCGTTGATGTATCAGCCTTCTTCGCGAGTTCGGTGTTGAGTTTATTCTCGTTTACGGCAGCAGTGCCGTTGAGTGGTTGATCGCTTAGACCTGTAACCTGTCGATCTGCCCCATGACTTGAGGTGAAAGTTATTTTCTTTTTGAGATCTGAGAGATCGATGTTACTACCCGACGCGGTAGGTCCGGCAGGCCCTCGAGGTCCTTGCGGGCCTTGCGGGCCTTGCGGGCCTTGCGAGCCAGTGTCGCCTTTGTCGCCTTTGTCGCCTTTTGCTCCTTGTAGACCTCTTGCACCTGCGGGTCCTCTCGCTCCAGCAGGGCCTTGTGCACCAGTGTCACCCTTTGCTCCTTGAGGACCTTGTGGCCCCTGTGGTCCTGTGGCACCCTTTGGTCCTTGAGGACCTTGAGCGCCGGTGTCACCCTTTGAACCGGCAGGACCAGTGTCTCCCTTTACCCCTCTCGGTCCTTGCGCACCGATAGACCCGGTGTCTCCTTTTGGACCTTGCGGGCCTTGACGACCTGTGGGGCCAGAGTCGCCTTTAGGTCCTGGTGGACCTTCAGGCCCTTCTTTCGACGCGCCTTCCTGGCGGTGATCGACTTCGTGATACCCGTCCGACCAACCTATCTTGCTTGTTTTGTAATCTCTTCAGATAATTTGAAGAGATTTTTTTATGTATTCACCTCAGGCCTAAAAGGCCTAGGTAAAGTGTACCTCAGGTGAAGTACTTAACGATAAAGCGTTCGTTCGAAAGTGTGTCGCTGTGTGACAGAGGTTCTACTACATCGTTGAATACTTGGTACAAACTCTTATGGACAAGGTCTGGTCTTTTCAGTCTTCGGGTTACCTCGTTCAAAAACCACAGGCAATAATAGCCGCACAACACGCTTAGCATAGCTTGATATTGTACGTTGATACGTGAGCGGAGGAAAAAAAAAGGCGGGACGCTCTTTGAGGATGTAGGACGAACCAGCACCTCGCTGGGGGAGATGGCTGTGAAGGGGCTAGCGAACATGGCTCAGCTAGGTCTTGCAAACGCCATCAAATCTGACTATGCGAAGGGCAAGTTCAAAAAGACAGCAAACAAGTATCTCGATCAGGCTCTCGATTCTTTTGTTAACGATATGAGCAAAAAGATCAAAGGGGGTACGCTAAACGCGTACGATGTAAATCAAATTGTACCAATGTCGATGTATGCACCTGATGGGGTGAATGACCCAACACACCCTCTTTACGAAGGCGGCTCCTTCGATTTGCATAAAGCCATCGGAAAGCTGGCAAGGCCGAAAAGCGGTTGGGTTCTCCCTGGGATGAGATACGCGGGCCCCTACAACGACCTCGATTTTCAGCTGCGCTTCGATCCAAAGACCGGCAAGATTCTCGAGATCTATGACCCACCGACAGGGCCGACTGATGCGATCGCAATGCAGCATGACGTTGATTACAGCGTCTGTGCAAACAAACCAAACCCAAAGAAGTGTAAAAACGTGGCAGATCGTAAGATGGTTACGGATCTAGATGCTGTACCACCCTCACAGAGACAGTGGGGTCATTGGATTGCGAGAAACGTCATCAACACCAAACAGAAGCTTGGCCTAGGCCTGGGTGGAAAAAAAAAGTCGAAGCCAAAGGTAAAGCCAAAGACAAAGAAGACCCCGAAGAGGTCTTAACAAGTCTAGCAGATGAGCTGCACAAGCCCATAAGGCGAAACTTTCCCAAACGACGTGTTATTGTGAACGGTATCGATGAGATTTGGTGCTCTGACTTGGTAGAGATGCAAAAGTTTGCAAAGTGGAACAAGGGCTACAGGTACCTGTTGATGGTTCTTGATATTTTCAGCAAGTATGGCTGGATCATACCTCTGAAGAATAAAAAGGGTGAGGGTGTGGCTGAGGGGTTCAAAGAGATATTCTCCGAAGGGAGAAAGCCTAAGAAGATGTGGACCGATAAAGGTAAGGAGTACTACAACAGTCACGTCAAAGACCTGCTGAAAGCGGAAGGCGTAGAGCTGTACTCGACAGAGAATGAGGAGAAATCGTCTGTGTGTGAGAGATGGAACCGTACGATAAAGACAAAAATGTGGAAGCAGTTCACCATTCAAAACAACACGGTGTATCTCGACATTTTGCCGAAGATTCTCGAAAAGTACAACAACACAAAACATAGATCGATCGGTATGACACCTGTAGAGGCCTCCAAGAAAAAGAATGAGAAAGCCGTCTATTTGAAACTGTACGGTGAAGAAGGCCCTACCCCCTTGGGTACCCACCCACACCGAGAACCAAAGTTTGCGGTCGGTGATCACGTTCGAATCTCCAAATTTAAGCGGCAGCTCTTTGACAAGGGCTACACCCCAAATTGGTCTGAAGAGATCTTTGTTGTTGATGAGGTACAATACACACAGCCCATCACTTACAAGTTGAAAGATCTGCTTGGGGAAGAGATCAAAGGCTCTTTCTACGAGCAAGAGTTGTTGAAGGCAAAGCAAAGCCTTTCAGGCCTTTTCCGCATTGAGAAGGTTATACGAAAGAAGGGCAAACAAGCTCTCGTAAAGTGGAGTGGTTACCCAGAAAAATTCAACTCGTGGGTTGATGAGAGCAACCTTAGGTCGCTTTCAAAAGTTATGAAAAAATGAAAAAAATGTCTTAAAGAAATGTTATATATAAACGAAAGATAACAAAATGGATGAAGTTGATAGATGGATGCACAAGATGGATGAACTTGAAACATATTCAAAGGCTGCACTTTTAGCAAAAGGAAAAGAGATGGGCCTGAAAGGTCTTTACAAACTCAATAAAAAAGACCTGATTGAAGTTATCAAAAATCCACCACCTCCAAAAAAAGATTCAAAGCCTGAACTTTTGATGAAAGCAAAGGAGATGGGCCTGCAAGGTCTTTACAAACTCAAGAAAAAAGACTTGATTGAAGTTATCAAAAACCCCCCACCTCCTCGCTCAAGAAACACTGGTGTGAGAAAAAAGTTGATATTAACACCTGTAGACTCAGAGCATAGCTCTTCGCCAGAAGAGCTTGTCTTCCCTTCGATAAATAAGGCTTCAAAACACTTCAACGTGAATCCTGGAAGGTTTGGTTCGAAGGTCACCTCAGAAAACGAAGAGACAAAAAGCACAATAGTTATCCATGGAATACGATACAATCTGAGATTTGAGAGTTATACGTTGAAAAAGGACCCACCACAAGCGGATACCTCGTTAAAAGATTGACCTGACGGATGACGAGTTTTCTTACTTGAATCGAGTGAGGAAAAACATCTTAAAGAAAT